TCTGCACTACCCCGCTCCCTTTTATGGCTAGAACCCCATCATCACCTAACTTCACCGTTCCATTCCACTCCTTAAAAGAAGTGAGTAGATCACGAGAGAACGTCATATGGTGAGAAGCACCGGTATCCATAATCCAGGAATCAGCAGTACTAGCACTACACGCTGTCAGAACTTCACCAAAGTCCCCATCATCAGAATTGTCTTGTACCACAGCAGCACTGCTGCCACTGTTACTAGAATCAACTTTTGTATTTCCCTTCTTTTGTGGACAATCCCTTTTAACGTGCCCTTTCTCCTTGCAAAGATAACACTTAACTTTGCTAGAGGATTTTGATTTTGAACGCGACCTCCCATTCCCGTTACCCCTCTCCTGTGGTCTTCCCCTACCTGCAAACAGACCTGAACCAGAACCCTCTTCCAGAGAAACCTTTCTTTTCAATTCTTTGGACATAAGGGCATGTTTCACATCATTAACAGAAATTGTAGTTATACCATATAACATAGTATCTACAAAATTCTCATATGAACCAGGTAGTGAACACAGTAAAATTAGAGCTTGATCTTCATCATCTACTTTAACCTCAACTCCTTGAAGATCAAGAATGATACGGTTAAAGGTATCAAGATGATCCTTTACCTGAGTACTTTCGGACATCCGGAGGGTGTAAAGACGTTGCTTCTGATATAGCCTGTTCGTGAGAGAGTTGTTTTGGTACTTCTCACACAGTTTATTCCATAACCCAAAAGCCGTTGTCTGATCTACAACCTCCCGTAACACCTCATCAGTAACTGACAGCAAGATCGCAGAATGAGCCCTTGCCAAAATCTCCTTATTTACCTCCTCCTTCGTGTCTTTAGGAAACTTGTCTTCTCCCTCCAACGCAGCCGCACATCCTTGTTGAACCAGAAGTGCCCTCATCTTGACCTTCCAGAGCGTGAAGTCATTCGACCCATTAAACTTCTCCAGATCAAATTTATACGAGGACATCTTCAATCAATGGGATATGGCTCTGATACCACTTGTTATGAGAAAACGAGAAAGAAAGCAAATAAAGAACACAGAGGTTTTACGTGGTTCGGTGACGGTGTATCAACCTACGTCCACGGGCAGGAACCGGAGAGATTTTATTATACTGATTCAGAGATTTACAATATGTCATCCGACTAAGAACATAGTTGTCTATTTATAAGCACCCCAAAACACCCTAAACCCTAAGCCTATTTGTTATTAATTAGGATAAGCCCAAAAGGAACCCTGCCAATTGAAACAGCCCTTTCGCTTTGGTTTAGGGTCGGGTAGACCGCTAAATCCAAGTCACGTTTCAACAATAACAATAAGAATAATAAAATCCGATAGTTAATCTATGTATAATCAAGTTTAAAATTTTAAAATCAAATCATTCATAGAATTAAAAGTCTAAGTATATATAGATAGTGAACCTAATTTTATCCATATTTTTGTTATTTTTTATATCCCGATAAATCTTAATCTTATTGAATTATTTGTTATTCTAAAAAAATTTAATTAATTATTCAAACTTAATATTTTAAAAAATAAAATAAAACTCTCAAATTATGAAAACTCAAAAATTAAAGTCTTTGGTCAAAAAATATATATGATATAATATGATATGATATGATATCAATGTACACATTATTTTGTAGAGACAAATTTTCTTATAATACAAAATCTTCAAATTTCAAAAAAAAAATGACAATAAAAATATATTTTTCTTAATAAAAAATAGATGATGATTTGGATTGGTTTATTGCCCAAGAACTTAAATTTTTTTTCTTTGCCCAAATAAATGTCATGTAGATTGTTTGTTGCCCGACTATATAGCATAGATTTGTATGAGAATTGTCCTTTCTTTCTCTCTAAAAATATTTTTATTTATACAGGAGCATTATTTATATATTATATTAAAATTATATAAATAATAGTAATTTATTAGATTGTTACCATATAAAATATAATTAAAATAATAGACTTAATAAGTAGTTAACTTAAATATTGAATATTTTATTTATAAAATATTAAATAAATAAATTTCATTCTATTACAACTATTATATCAACTAAATTAAAATAATTAACTTTCTTTCTTAATAACGAATTAAAAGAATAATATAATATGACAGAACAGAGAGAGTATAAAATATTATTTCCTTATAATTTATATTTTAAAATATTATATGTTTATATTTCCTCAATTCTATATACATTATTGTATACAAAGTGTATATTTTCTCCGGTCAATTTCAAAGTATATATTTATTTTTTACACAGAGTTGATAGTTAAGTAATGTAAAGATAATTTTGTCCTTAGTTTTTATATAATAGTAATGAGAGATGGTAAAATAGGATTATTTATAGAAAAAAAAAAGAATATTTATAAAATTGTTACTTTGTAATTTAACAATCCATAATATAAATATGTATACTTTGTGAATGGACAAAGATAATATATTATAAATATTAGGAGTGGCAAAAATAAGCACGACCTGAAAGTCTGGTCCAGCACAAAAAAACCGTGCTTGGGCCTCCAAAAATAGGGCCCAAAACCTGGCCCGGCATGCTAATAAATAGGGCTATGCCTGGGCTCATGAAGGTCAGGCCGGGCCATGAATTTAAATTTAATAAATTTATATATATTAAATTTTGAAATAAGATAAAATTAAAACATGGGTTGATGGTAAAATCATTAGTTTGTATATTGTGGGTTCAATTCCCCAAAAAAAAAAATGGGTCGGCACCGCACGGCCTAATTTCAAACCGGGTCGTGCTCGGGCCGTGTTGGCCTAGTACAGTTTGGAAGGTTGGATTGGCCCGGCACAAAAAATCTGGCTGGCCCGAATTGCCACCCCTAATAAATATACCGATAATTATTGTACTGAATAGAACATCGATTGAGAATATTTGTTTTGAATTTGAAATTTTTTATAATTTTGGGAAGTAGTATTTATTTGGCATAGTAGATTTTGTTTTGGTTTTAAAGTTTTGATAGATAATGATTTGATACGTAATGTAGGTTTGATGTTAATTTATACTTTAATAAAAGATAATTTAAATTAAATAGAAAGAAAAAAAATAATAATGTGATTTTTTTAAAAGTTAAATTAAATAAATATTTAAATTAAAATAAAAATATTGATGTATTAATTAATAATATAGTTTAAACTACATATAATTATAGAATAAAAAAATTACAAAAGTTAAAATATGAATCTACAAAAATAGTACCATTAGGGTGCATTTACTACGGTAGCAATTCAAAAAATAGAGTGGATGGTTGGAGATACCTTAGTGATACAATATTTAAAGTAAATAATATTTAATTAGTTAATAATAGTGAATTATGATATAATTTTATTATTTTTATGTAATTAATACTATTTTCGCCATGTTCTATAGGTCATATTTATTTTTTGTGTGTTGATATTTGAATATTAATTATTATATCAAAACGTAATATAACGACTTTTATACAAATATAAATATATTTTTAATGTTAAAAATTATGTAGGTAATATAAAAACTAATATTTTATTTTAAATATTAATTTTTGTAAAAGAATAAAATATATATATCGAGAATCGTTAAGAAAAAAAATTTGGGTGAACAACCCAAAGTTTTAAATATACATAAAAAATAATAATTGTTTTTTAGTAAATATAAAAATAAATGAGTTTTGAACTTTTTATATGGTATAAAGTTAATTAAACTAATTTATATTTATTAAATATGTTTAAATTTAATAAATTTGATATAAAATATAATCGAACATACTAAAATAATAATAAAGCTTGGCCGGAAAAGGTATCATTAATTGGCAGCAAGTAGTGTACGAGAGATAGTGAGGAGGTGATTGTTTGTTGGTGTCTTTGTTTGTGACGACGAGGAGAAGAAACCGATGCTTACGCGCCTGGTATCTGTCGGTTGCTTTGGAGTTGCCAGTGCAGCCAGCCAGCCTGAAACTCACAACAAGGAAAAAAATGAAGGACGGACGGCATTTTATTTTAAGGTAGCACCGAAAGTAATCGATGGCACAAGCTTCATTTTAGGTTGAAGAGAGTAGAGTAGAGTAGGGTAGAGTAGGCATGTGCTCGTGCTTCAAATCTAGGTCGCTCATCCTACAAAATGATGATCCCAACGCAACAAGGAGGAAGAAGGACTACTACTACTCATCATCATCATCAGCAGGAGGAGGAGGAGGAGCTTCATTGAATTCGAGCATGAAGGAAATCTGTGTGAGAATAGTTCACGCGGGAGGGCGTCTGGAAATGTACAACAGAGCGATTCCTGTGTCTGCCCTCATTCACAAGTACCCCGGAATGTGCATTGCCCGCCCCACCGTCTTCAAGCACCCCCACGAATCCCTTCTCTCAGACCACGACGTTTTGATGCCCGGGAATAAGTACTTTGTCATTCGCTGCACCACCGTCGAGAAACTCAAGAGGAAACACTCCGCCATCATCAAAGCTCACCACCAGGATCGTGATAATGATAATATTGATGTGGAGGAGCAGCTTTCTCAGACCAGTACTGTTGGAGATGCTAACTCTGAGGACTTCCATGTCCCTGTCCCTGTCCCTGTGCCTGGTAAAGACAAGTCGACTAATTCCAATTCCAGCAAGAAGGATGATAAGAAAAAGAAGAAGAACAACACCCACAAGGAGAAGAAGAACCAAGTGCAATTCGTGCCCTCTATTCCAAAGCCAAGGCCAAGGCCGAGACCGAGACCAAGAACTTGGCGGAAGGATTCCGACTGGGAACCAAGTCTGACTTCAATCAAGGAAGTATCTCCATGAATTTATATATGATCATATCTATCTATCTTTTTATCTGCTCTCATTTTTCTACTCTGTGTTTCGCTTTAGTTAATTTATGGTATGACTATGTCCTAGTGCCATCGGATTTCGATTTTGGCTTTCATATGTGTGACTCACTCACTGACTGTTTTAACTCTAAATTTTGCAAATTGTTTCGGCAAAACCTCAGCAAGAGAACAAAGGGAGTCACTGTAACAATGAATGGAGTAGCACATGAGATGGAAGATGTACATTAACCATGAGCAGCACAGCAGATAAAAATGGTCCCAAGAATCTATACTCAACTATTACACACACAGACAATAAGCACAGGATGATCTTCAACTCAAACTCCCCATACCATCCCAACAATTTCTCCGGTGCGGGTCAGACTTGAGCTATAGGCCATGTTGTGACCCATCCATCAATCGATCCCGTGAACTCAAAAGTTCCTTACCTTACTTTAAAGAAGGGTCGACAACACCTTGGTTAAGATCCATGTGTAAACAACAGAAAAGAAGGCGCCAGCCGGTATTGTCACAGCCCAAGAAGTGACAATCTCCCTCACCGTCTCAGCTCTCACGCTGTTAAGCCCCCGAGCAAAGCCTACCCCCATCACTGCCCCTACAAGAGTATGAGTGGCCGAGATGGGGAGCCCAAGTTTCGAAGCCAACAGAACTACTGATGCAGCTGCAAATTCGGCAGCAAATCCTCGGGTTGGTGTTAATTCGGTTATTTTCTTTCCAATCGTTGCAATGACACGATATCCCCACATCATCAGCCCGGCAACTATCCCAAATCCACCCCAGGCTAAAACATCAATAGGAATTACTATTGCAGCACCACTCAGACCTCCATGAAGAAGTGACAAAGCTCCAGCCAAAGGACCAATTGCATTTGAAACATCATTTCCACCGTGAGCAAATGACATGAAGCATGCTGATAGAATTTGCATATAGCCAAAGACTCCATAAACTATCTCTAACTGGGTCCCTGTAGGACCAGCTATGTCGGACAGGAACCCAATCTGTTTACTTTGGTGAGCTTCCAATTTTTGCTCTTGATCCGTTTTAGAAGACTTCACAAGGAGGTGCCCGAGCTGCCCTCGTATAATCCTGTCAACTAAGATAGCAGCAGCAGCTCCACAGGCTAAAGCCTGGACCAAAGCTATAGGGATGGTCTTGCTAAGAGGAAATGCCGCAAACGAAACCCCGGTTGCACATAGAAAGACAGCGATCGGTGCTGCCGCAGCTGCAGCTTGCCCTGGATTTTGAGCACTGTAAACAAACTACAAGGGGTGAAGACAGTCAGTCCTGCCCTCATTTCAAAAGCCTTTTCTAATAGAGTTGCTGAATAATTAAACAGTTACGACATATGATTCAAAAGAGGACTTGTATACATTTTGAGTTGCGATTGTAAAACATACCCGGCGAATGCATTTGTAGACAAGAAATGATGTCAGGGCTCCGACTAAAGGGGAGACAACCCAAGACAATGTAACCCTTGCCAATGAGCTCCAGAAAACAGCTCCAGCTCCTCCATAGACAAGACCAAAACCCACCATGGATCCTACAATACAATGCGTAGTCGAGACTGGCCAGCCATAGTATGAAGCAACCTGCATAGCTAGGTAATTTAGGTTCAGGGACTGTTATCAAACATCAATGGGATAATTTTTTGAAAAAATATTACTAAATTGATGTGATTATTTAGTTGAAGGATTCGATTCATTGCATCCCAATGTGCTCATATTGATATTATAATATGCTGCATCTTGGAATGTTACGACAAATTACAATGACAACAAAGTAATAAAAAGAAAATAAACATGATTTATTATGGCCACCTACTTCTTTTTGTTCCCAATGAGAGTTGGTGGGGTACTATCTATTAAATATTGATGCAGTGAACAATTTCTAGTTTGTACCTTCTATGTTGGTAGGTAGAATTTATGTTAGTGTCAATAGGTAGATTCTAAGCCCTCTAAATAGATGTAATTTGCAAGTCATATTCAATTCAATCCAAGTGTGTTTTATTCTAGTTTGGTTTTCCTCTCCACCAAGTTTTAGTTCTTCGTTTGTTTCTTGAGTGTTTTTCTTCCCTTTCTCCAACAAAGTAGTATTAGAGACATATCAACTTTGTGGTTAGTATCACAATGAGTTCAAACGCTCTTTCATTACAATACCTTCAGCTTACCAAACACAATTATGAAAATTTGACACTTCATATGAAAATTATATTTGGTGCACATGGTGTTTGGGAGACTATAAAAAATTGGGTTCATGGTGTCGGAGAATGAAGGAACTTTCAGTCAAAATGAGAGGAATGATTTAGAAAAATTAGATAGGAAAGATCAATATCCTCTTACAATTATCCATCAAGGTTTAGATGATATGTTCAAGAAGATTGCAAATATGGCCACCTTCAAGGAGCTTGGGGCAAGCTTAAAAAATCTGTCATGAAAATTGACGAAGTGAAGAAAGTTCGACTTCAAACCTTAAGGGGTGAATTTGAAACACTTTTGATGAAAGAAGGTGAATCAATCCAAGACTACTTTACATGGGTCTTGGAAGTGACAAATCAAATGAAACGGCTTGGAGAAGCTGTACTGGATGTTCGGGTGATAGAGAGATACTTTGCTCTTTTACATAGACATTACTGCATATGGTGGTTGCAATTAAAGAGTTGAAGGACTTGGAGGCCAAGACCATTGACAAGTTGAATGGTTTCTTGTAAGCTCAAGAAAAAAAATTGAGTCATGACGAAGATGATCATGGGAGCAAGTTTTATAAAGTAAATTGACTTTGAAAGAAATGACAAGTAAAGGCCGAGGCAGAGGTCATAGAAGAAGTCAAGGCAATGGACAAGACCATGGTTAAGAAGAGCAAACAAGAAAAGCTTAAGCATTCTACAAAGATTGAGAACAAGAAAGAGGAAAAGAAAGGAGGATGACACTAAAAAATGGGCAAGGTAGACAAATCTCACATTTAGTGCTACTCTTATCATAAGAGTGGTCGCTACACTTCGGAGTGTTGGTCAAAGAAGAAAAATATGGAGGCAAATTTCATTGAAGAGAAAGAAGATTCGATAAAAGAATATCTACTTTTGGCATCAAACGATGAGTCAAATGTGGAGACAAGTGTGTTATCTCGACAATAGAGCTAGCAATCACATGAACGGAGACAAAAACAAATTTGTGGAACTTGCTAAGTCATAATGGCGCCATAAGCTTTGGAAACAATACGAAGGCCGGCATCAAAGGAAAAAGAACAGTGACTTTCAAGATAGAGTGGAAAACACAAAATTTGCATTATGTTCCAAGTTGACTAGTAACATTTTTAATATTAGTCAAACTTTTGGAGAGAAGATAAAAAATCCACATGGAAGATCATACACTTTGAATTAGAGATCAAGATTCTAATAATGTGGTGAATGTGGTCATGACAAAGAATAGCATATTCTTATTCAACTTGAAGAATAATGGATCCATGTGCTTAAGGATTTGTGCCGATGGTCAATCATGGATATGTCATATGTGGCTCAATCATTTGAATTTGGAGGCTTGAAGAAAATTGGAGAAAAGAAGATGGTTAAGAGTCTTCCCATGAATGATCATCTAAATAAACTATGTAAGTCATATCTCCTAAAAAAAACATTCAAGGACACGTTTTCCTAAACATTCAGATTTGAGAGCCACCAAGCCGCAACAATTGGTTCATGTTGATGTTTTTAATCCGATCAAGCATCAATCGTTTGGTAAAAGATCTTACTTCATACTTTTCATTGACGATTATAGTAAAAATACTTGAGTCTACTTCTTGAAACAAAAGAGTGAGGTGTTTGATAGTTTTAAGAAATTTAAAGTATCGTTTAAGAAGAAAAGTGACTATGAAATCAAAGCATTGAAGACTAATCGAGAAGGTGGATTTTTGGGGAAAAAACTCAAGACATTTTGTTAAGTACATCTTATCTGGAGGCCTATGATAGCACCAAGAATTCCTCTAACAAAATAAAGTTTCCAAGAGAAAAAATGGACCATTCTCCATAGGGCAAGGTCAATGCTAAAGTCCAATGATATGCCAAGAGATTTTTGGGAAGAAGCATGGCATGTGCCGTCTCTTTCGAATTGGATTTCTACCAAGAGTTTAAAGAATGGGGGTTAAGAAGCTTGGAGCAGCGTGAATCTAAGTGTGGCTTTGAAGGTCTTTGAATCCATTACCTATGTTCATGTTTAGAAGCAAGAGTGATCCAAACTTGATCATAGAAAGAAGCTAGTATTTGTTGGCTATGTAGAGAATGCAAAGGCTTATAGGTTGTTCAATCCAACATGAAAAACTTGTGGTCAGTCGCGATTTAAGTTTGATGAGCTCGTATTGTGGAATTAAAGTTCAAAAGAGAAAGATTCGTATGACTTTCTTCTATACTTTGAAGATGAATAAAGGAGTGTGAACATTGAGCGGAGATTACTCCACCAACCACATCATTTTCGTCATCTTCGGAAGTATCATTATCAAGTGAGAGAACTTTAAGATAACTGAGCATGGATAAGCTATGTGATGTAACCAATAGGTTGGATAATTATAACTTATTGTGTTTGTTGATGGATTCGCCGGGCCTAATGTCTTTTCAAAAAGTTAGAAAAGACAATTAATGAATTTAAGCCATGGATGAAGATATTTGAGGCATTGAAACTAATGACATATGAGAGCTATTATCACAACAACGTGATCATCAAATTATTAGTGCCAAGTGTGTGTATAAGGCAAAGAATAATGACAAGGTAGAGGTCGAGAGGTACAAAACCCGATTGGTAGCAAAAAGCTACAAGCAAAAGCATAGAATTTATTATGATGAGGTTTTTCCATTGGAGACAATTCGGCTACTAATCCCCATTTCCGACACAAAATTAATGGAAGATAAACCAATTGGATGTTGAGTCCGCTTTTTTCAATGGAGTATCTTAGGGAAGATGTATTCGTTCAGCATCCTCGAGCATGGAATAGCCATCTTGACAAGCATTTACAAGACAATGGATTCTTAAGATTGCCAAAGTTATCCGCACTATAAGAAAGTAGAAGATGGGCATATGCTATTTGTTTGTGTCTACGTGGAGGGTCTCATTTTCACCTGAAGCAATACGAGGATATTGAAGAATTCAAGAAATTCATGACTCAAGAATTTGAAATTAGTGATATAATACTATTGTCATATTAATTGGGAATTCAAGTAAATCAAATAATCTCTCGAGAAAGCAATGCAAAAGAAGTGCTAAAAAAGCTAACAAGCTGCAAAGCAAACTCGTGAGCGCTATAGAGGGTGAAGCAAGTTGTCCAAAAGGATGAAGACTGTGTTGAGGACACCATGTTCAAAAGTCTTGTTGCAAGTCTAAGGCGCTTGACTTGCACTAGACTCGACATTTTATTTTCGGTGGGAATTGTGGACTGTTACATAGAAGTTCCTAGCATAGCACATTGGATAGCGACAAAGAGGATATTCTAATATCTAAAAGGTACTCTTGGTTTTGGCTTGTTGTAGTCATCTTCCAATACTTCCAAATTGATGGGATATTGTGATAGTGATTATTGTGGAGATCTCGATGATAGAAAGAGTATTATGGAATTTGTATTTTTTCATGGGAAAAATAATTTTTTTTGGTGCTAAAAAACCGATTGTTTCGATCTTCACTTGTGAGTACATCTAGTACTTGTCACGCTATTTGGCTTCAAAAATTGCCGAAAGAACTTCAATGCAAGCAAGCGGAAGCCATGAGGATCATGGTTGACAACAAGTAGGCTATTCCTCTAGTAAAAAATCCTGTCCATCATTATCAAAGTAAGCATATTGATACTCGCTTTCATTTTATTTAGGAAAGTATTGAGAGGAATGAGGCAGAGCTTCAATATTGTGGAGTCAAGGAATCACACTGCAAACATATTTACAAAGCACTAAAGTTTGAATACTTTCAAACGTTTAAGGGGTAGTATTGAAAAATAAACATGATTTACTATGGCCACTTTTTTTTTTTTTTTTTTTTTTTTTCCAATGAGGGTTGGTGGCCTACTTTTAATTAAATATTGATGCATTGAATAATTTCAAGTTTGTATTTTATATGCTGGTAGTTAAAATTTATGTTGGTGTTGGTACTTGGTAGGGAGATTCTAAATCCTATAAATAGATAGGATTTGCAAGTCATTTCCAATTCAATAAAAAGTGTCTTTCATTCTAGTTTGTTTTTCCTCTCCACCAAGTTTTAGTTCTTGGTTTGTTTCTCGAGTGTTCTTCCTCCCTTCCTCTGACACAATATATGGTGTAATGAATTCTATTTCTATCTCATGTGTTGCCAGCACAATTCAAATTCTTGCAAAATATAAAGCCAGATTGACATAAACCACGATACAAATCCTGAATAATATGTGAGAATGAGTGAAATTGGATGTGCACCTGTAACCAAGTACCAGCAGCAGCCAAAGAAGACAGCAAGCCAGCAAAGAGCAAAGCATCCTTCCCTTGGAAAACATTGGCAACAAGAATACCCTTTTGCATTGTACTGGTGACATGAGTCCCCATTAACATAGCGCCGGAGAATTCCAGCACGGCGGCCAGCAGCACCGCCTGCCGGAGCGACAATGCCCCGGAACCGACAGAAGTCCCCATTGCATTAGCCACATCATTGGCCCCAATATTCCAGGCCATGTAGAAGCCAAACAAAAGGGTAACATACGATAAAACTTTAGTCTTGAATGCCAATCCCTGCCCCAAAGAGGGCATTAACAGTGGAAAACTCAAAGCAGCCAGAGCTATGCAAACTGATATGGCTGAAGCTGTCCTGGAAGGTATGTGAAAAGCCTGTGCCATTCCAGGCAATCCATCGCCATCATCTTCAGATTTTTCATTTCCTTGATGAAGATGGTGATCTTTGGCAGTGATGGCTTCTTCACCTTCTCCACCTTCTGCCTCTGCAAAAGAAGATAAGGAAGCAAAAGGGCTCGTGAATCCATCTCTCCCGATTCTTAAACCTGGCCTGTAGATCGGTTTCAGGGGCTTCCAAGTGAAAAGTTCCCTTCTGCAAGAATGAACTTCATTAGAGAAAACAAAAGGGCGGAGCTTGGGGACAGAGAAATTGGAGTTGTTAAATAGCAATGCTTGCAGTGTGGAGCTTCTAAGGGAAGATAAACAATGGGAAGAAGTCATGACGACTTAAGGGATTAGATACAGTAGGGAGCAGAGAATATGTGAAGGAATTATTCATGTAGATTCGTGCCGATAGAAAGTTGTGGAGGAGAATTAGATTGGAGGAGAGTTGCTGGAGTAGGAGAAAATTGGACTTGGGGGAAAGATTAAGCATTTTTTAATATATTTTTTCTTCGACTCTTAGATTTATTTTAATGTCTTTTTTCTCTCCCTCTTGTTTTTCCTGTGGTGGAAGTGGAGGACGAGAGGCATTGGTACGTTTGGTTGTTGGAGTATGCTATGTAATGAAAATGCAATGCAAGGACCTGATCGAGGAGTCTTGAAGATCGACACCATTGACGATAGGCGATGTGTGGTCTGGATTGTTTCAGAAAGTACATATGGGACTCGGACAGGACAGATGTAATCCATTTATTTACCAGCTGCATGCCATAATAAAATGGGTGGAGGAGAATTCGAGCACTTGCAACTGCTATCTATCTAATCCTACTCAGGACAAACAAAAAATGGTACTATATAAATACATGCATATATTCTTGAAAGAAGACATATAGAGAAAGATAGTGTTGATTGATTGTGGATTTAATTTTGGCAGGGCTGCGAGATTTTATCTAGCTTGCTTAGACTATCTTGCACGGAAGAGATTTCCTCTATTTTTGCATGATGGAGAAAAAAAAATTACTTTAATTCACTCTGCAGTTTTGTAGAATTCACTAGCTGAAATCAATTGGTGTTATTATTAATTTTTTTTCAATACAATTATCTATTTATTTATAAATTTATAAACAATTGCATTAATTTTTTTATTTTGTTTATATTTTATTTATTTTATTTTGTTTTAAGCTTATATTTTATATATTTATTTTATTTTATTTATGTTACTTTTAATTTTATTATTTTTATTATAATTTTGTAATTAATATTTATAGTAAACTATTTATTTATTAATATTTTTTAATTCTACAAAAATTGAGGGTATGGTTGGAGAAGAGATCTGCTGTATGGTTGGAGATGGGTTATTGTAGCAGACCTGGAAAAAAATGGAAAAATATATTGTAGACCCTGCAAAAATGGAATTATGAGTTGGAGATGGTCTTACCAAGCGCCTGTATTGTGATCCCCTCCTCTGATTTGTTCTAAGGGTGTGTTTGTTTGGGGAAAAATCCCTCAAATATATTATTCATTCAATTTTTTTCTTCAAAACATCAAATCAAACACATATTTTTCATTTTTTTATAATATACTGAAAATCAATTTTACATTTAAAACATCACATCAACACCTATTTATATCACATCATATACCTATTCAAATTCAAAATTTTTACTATTTAAATCCCAACTCAAACCCCCAAACAAACGCACCCTAATTGTTCTTTCTCTCTATTCAATCCAATAAAAAAAAATGATATACTACCGGTATTAATTTTGTTGGAGAAATAATTTAGAATGAATGAAAATAAAAATGAGATCGAATTTCGCAGGCATATACGATCTTGGATATACTTTTAATAGTGTAGATTAGATTCGTTTTCTTTATATGATATTTTGACCCTATTAACGTCAGAGTTACACGAAATTCGTACGAGAATAAAAAAAAGCAACATTCGAATTTTAGGCGAAAAATCGAACAAGTAAAAGGTTGGAAGATTATTTGCATATAAAGAATATATTTGTCAGAATTCCAAAGAAAGAAAGAGACCTGATAGTATTTATGTTTATTTTACCCAGTCACTTGCTGTCACGGTGTTTTCTATTATTTTTTTTCTCTCTGAAAATTCTTATACACAGTTTTTTGATGAAAATATATCACTTGAAAAGATTAAAAGTTATCAATTCAAATTTAAATAAATTTGAATTTATAAGATTTTATGCAGGAATTAAATAATTTAATTTCTCATTTGAAAATAATAAATATTAAATAAAACTAATAGACATTACTGTATTTTTTTGGAAAATACATAATGTTTCTAAATTATCAGATTCCAAAATATAATATTTCAATTTAGTCTTAATCATGATTAAATCATAATTATTATTTTCACATATTTTTATCTTATTTCACACTTCATTCAATATCTAATAGACATTCTCGAGTACGCACCCCACGCGGTCCTTCTCAAAGATAGTTTGATACGACATTCCTTATTTTCGAATAAATCTAATAACAACAAAATAACCAACAAATTTATTTATTTGTTAAATTTGTAAATAATTTCATATATTGTAATTTGAAAATTAGGTCCAGCGAAGATGTGGACGCCACACAAAAAGGAAGATCGATCGAGGCTATGAATTTAGAATAAACGAAGAAAATAAATTAGTCTTCCGGTTTTTTATTTTTGAATGAACGAATCAAATAAATCGCAATATATAATTATATTTACAAATTTAACAAATAAATAAGTTAGTTCACGCTACACGTTATTTTTTCTTTGATAGGACAGAGCCATAGAAAAATTACTATGATACATTATCCCCTCCCCTTTCCTTCTATCACCTAAAAATATATGTTACTCACTATCTTTCTGTTATTATCTAAAACTATTTATATATATATATTTACTATAAAAGAAATAGTAATTACTTTTTAAAAATATATATATAGTTGTTAGATGAAAAATTCTAATAACAAAATAGTAAATTCAGGCAAAAAATACAAAATTGGTTTTTATAATTTGAGAAAAGAAATTTCTAAACTATTATAAGAATATGAAAAGTAAAATATTGCACAAAATTAAAGTGGTGATTCTCAATAAAATTTCAGAAAAAAATTATGTGATTGAAGATGCTAATTTTTTTTGTTCAATCGGGCATTTGTAGGAGATTGATGGAGCAAGTAAAATCGGTTATTCCATCATGAGTGGTTTTCGGATGACAATGCAATTTACAATTAATTAAGAAATCGCTTTTGAAATCGTATGCTCATTTGAAAATAAATCAATTCAAATGGGCTCTTCCTCCGATTCTAAGCTATCAATTTGGACTGATTGGTCATTTATTTATCCTTATGTGAAATCAGTTGAAGTAGTATGTGGCATATGACTAATAATAATAATAATAATAATAATGAAAATGAAAATGAAAATAATCTACTAAGGGGTGGCTGATTGGATTGTCCGATTGCACAATTTGAGGAAGATCGATATAAAGATGGTCAATTTGGATATTGGTTGATCTGGAGATTGACTTCATAGATTGGTCAATTTTTGCAATTTGCATAACTATGCTATAGAGCAAAGGATTATCCAGAACCTAGGGCAATTTGTCCACTTTAGTCAATTTTTGTATACATCTTTGTGTATAACGATTAGTCTCCTCCAGTTTTTTTGGTTTAGACGCAATAATGAAACCCATAAAAATTTTCAAACAATAGTGCGGGGCATCAAACTCTCCCAATCAACACCCAACACCATAACTCAATGAAAGTACAAAATGGATACTAGCATTGAAACAATCATTTCGGAATAGATTTCTTTTAGAGGAAATAAATTTCTTTCGGAGAATTATAGAGTTTTTTTCCCTCAAGATAGTATTCTCCTAAACAATAATCATCTTTAGAATTTTCAATACTGTTGTTGAGAAGATGTTCAGTTAATGAATCATCAAATTTCTCAACAATATCACAATGTGTATTCCTATAAACATTTTTGCAAATTTCTCACTACATTATGTACCCATAGTGCACTCGAAAAATAGCAGTTGCAGATTTCTATGTCATAAAAAAAAAAAAAAAAAAAAAAAGTGGACTACTAACCTCCAAAACATTCTCACAAATTTTATGAGTAGGAAAATAAATGTCCGTAACAAATATCTCAACGTTTTTCTAATAGCACCATTGGATGGTTGTATGCCAAATTTTTGAAATTTTGTTCTACGTCATTTCTGGCGCATTCAAAAGATTTTTCGAGGAATTTTGGGGAGAATCAAAATTAAATGTTACATAAATAACATCAAATACTTTATCCCTTATTTCTTCAAAAAGTTTATAAAATTTGACACGTAACCCGTGCAATAATTTTTCTTTTTCATCATAGTGCTTGTAGTTATGTTCTTTGTTTTTTTTGAGATCTTTCATTTAAGTTATAGGTTGGCCACTACTAAAATTTCATCAAATCTAAAACATTCTTATCTATTTGTGCATTTTTATTTTTATTTTTTCATTCAAGCAAGTCTTTGATCTTGGGGAGTAAAAATGTGTAGGTTTTGATTATTAAATGCAATTATAACATTTTATTGTTGTTTGTTTTTCAAATCTTTAATTTTTTTGGTTTTCCTCATGCACGAATGATGAATGACCTTCTTCTTAAAAGAACATGGCACATCATGAAGTTCGAATTGTACTTTGATTTTGAACATGGCTTCAACAAATCATCCATCAATCACTTATATTGTTCAAATGAATCTCTAATTATCTTAACCATTTTATCCCAGAGCATTATCATAGTAGGAGAATCAACCGTGGATATTCGATGCATCTCCCACTATGGTCACCAATTTATTAGATGAAAAATCTAACAACAAAATAGTAAAAATTGAAAAAAAAAAAAAAAACTTGAACTTGTTTTTTATAGTTGAGAAATAAACTCTCAAAACTATTACAAAAGTACAAAATAAATTACTGTAGAAAATTAAGATGGTGATCCCGAATAAAATTTCTCCAAGAAAATTTTATGTGATTGAAAATGCCAATTTGTCTAGTTCAAATCGATAATTCATAGCATTGATGGAGTGGTTGTGTTTGTTCAGTCAATTCAATATTTTTTTTCTTTTTTTTTTTTTTAATACATTTTGATATAGAACTCTATTTTTTAATTGTCCTGCTATAAATTATGCAAGAATATTAGGGTTTTCATTAGGTTTTTCAATTATTATGGTAGCAATATTATATTTTCAATTCACATAATGAAATTGTTTTCGTAATCGGTTATTTCCTCGTAGGTAGTTTCGGGTGAAAACACGATTTACAATCAGTTAAGAAATCTCTTTCAAAACCTTATGCTTGATTTTCTATTCGTCCTATTGTCCAATTTAAGAAAAATTTGATCTGAAAACTGCCAATTTAAACATTGGCCTATACGAAGTTGATTGATTTTTGCAATATGCACAATCTGAATAGTTCCTCCATGATGCGCAATCTGCCTATAGTCGATTTTTGTATATATTTTTGTGTGTAACAATAACAAAGTATTATTTTTTTTAAAAAAAAAAAACAAAAAAACACAACAAATACTAAATTTTTTAT